CAAAGCAGCTGCCACCAGCACGGCTGGGGCGGGGAGAGAAAAATAATCAAGGAATCTTGCACCATCAAGACTAACCCCAAAGCTGCACTGGTAGGTAGCCAATCCAGTCCTGGGTGCCATCAGCCCTTTCCCAAAGCCTTACTGCAAGAGTTTTGCCACTTCTTGCCCACAATTCCCATATTAGCAATGGAGTGTCAACCCTGAAGAGAGCAATGGTCTCGGATGAAGAAATCCGCATTGGAAGTGCCAGGAGGTGAGGGGTGCATTCTGCTTGTACATTCTTCCTGGAGACATTTAACTTAACAGTTCCAAGTAAGTGACAGGAACTTTCCCTTTCTGGTTCCCTCTTTCCCCTATGAGCCAGTCTGGATCCATGCCTGGCAGGCTGTAGACAGTGATCATCTGGGGAGAGAAGGCAGCATTAGACAGGACCTTACTCTGCAGACAGAGCCAAGAAGTTCAAGATGGGCACTGAAAGAACAAGAATTCCTGCAGTTCCTGTAGCTCTGCCCTTTCCCTGGAGCTGTTGGCAGCTTCCATAGAAGCTCCAGCAGTCTGCCCCTCTTGCCTTTCCATTCTCCAGATTGACTCAAGGTATTTTTGCATGCAGGGTGGCTTGATACTGCCCTGTCAGCCCTTCTGCAGATGAATGTTCAGTTAACAAAAGAGTTTGCAAGTTGCTGAAGTTCATTTTCTTCAGCCTGATCAGAGTGGGGCTCCAGCCAGTAGCTTATCCCATTGCTCTGAGGGTCACAGTGAAGATACCAAGTATGGGGGTATTTTGTTAGCTGGGTACAGTTAGACTCCAGTGGGAACAGAAGAATTGATATCAGAGGGTGATAAACAGCCAATGGCCACAAGCACAAGTTCATATGGTGGGTGCTCATGTCATGGGAAAGACTCTTTGGCAGTTCCATCAAAAAGGGGGTTCAGGGACACAAAAAGTAACCAAGATCTTGCTGAGCATGCAATGGGGCTGCTGGGGAATTACAGCACAGGTCAACACAAGGAGAAGCCACCAACCTCATCTGCAAGAAGTGCCAGCTCGGTGCTGTCAGCTGCCTCATAATCATAGAGGACTCTGGCCTTCCGTGTCCCACTGGCAGGAGGTTTGACTTCATTTGGGTTCAGCACCCCCTCTGCCACAGTGCTGGGCACCCCCACGATGGTAGGCACAACTGGGATGGTGGGCACAGCTGGGAGTGTGGCAGCAGCAACAGCTGGAGGAGAGGCAGCTGCTGGGGGAGGAGAGGTGGAGTCTGCGTTGCCTACGAATGTGCCTGAAAATCTTACACGGGAGAGAAGAGCAGAGTTCAGAAAAGCTGGAGGGTGAGGAACCAAGAAAGAGCTCGTTTTGTCAGTAACAGGCTGGAGAGCTCCAGCTCAGGATGTGGTGGATCTGCACTGCCCCTTGAGCAGGCAAACACCCAGTTCCCAGGAGCTGAGCCTGTGCAACAGGGAATGTTTGTCAGCTTATTTTGATTCCAGTGCCCTCTGGGAGGACTGGCACGAGCCTGCAGAGCGCCAGACTGAGGGTGGCACCAGAGAGGGGGTTGGGCAGGGGCTGCGCTTGGCTCTGCAGCTGCTTAGTCTGCTCGTTCTTCAGGAAAGGGACAAGTCATTGTTGCTGTTAAACTGGATGTCACTCCCAGGCTTTTGGGGCTTTCTTGACAGAGACAGTAAAGGAGCTTGGTCTCATGTATCTGTAGCTAACCCCTCTGCACTGAGGGAGTGCAGCTCTGGCCTTTGTCTCTGCAGAGACTCCAGAGCTTGGCTGAGGTGGAGAGCAAGGGCCAGTCCTGTGGCACATCTTACTTACATTTCTCCCTTGGAGCTGTGAGCATGGAAAAGAAAGGAACAGGAGTAGTGAGTGATGGTGCAGAGGCACCAGCCCCTCCTGGGTCAGGCCACCCTGCTGAGGGGACATGTTCACAGACAAAGCAGCCCTGCCCACACCCTGGGGATGTGCAGCAGCACAGGACTAGTCACTGTTGCAGCTGCCTGGCAGTAGGAATTTGTCTCCCATGTCACTGAACTAGAGGAAGTGTTGGAACCCTCATGGCCATCGTGCTTTGAGATGGATGTATAAAAGCCACATGAATCCAATGGCAAATCCTGCTCTAAATGCACAACCACTGGGATTAATCACCATCCTGTGAGCTCAGCAGCTCTGCCAGAGCTGGGAGGGGACTTTAAACCTTCTACCTCACATTATAACGGGGGCTGGGGAAGGAGGCCTGAGCTCAGGGTAATCAGATGAGTAACCCTTTGGGAAGTAAAAGCAGCCTCTTGTCTCACCTGCCCAGTTGCTTCTGCAGGTCCAGCATGTACTGGTAACACTGGGCGTAGTAGTTGGTCTGAGCCTCCACAAACTCATGGAGACAGCGAAGATGGTTCACCTGGAGGGAGAAAATCCATAAACAGGTCTGTGAGTTTGAGTGCCAGGCACAGGAACCCTCTACCACCTACCCCCATGGGAAGCAGACCCGTGCACACCAGAAGTTAAGAGTTACTTGATTGTCCTGAATGCACAAATTTGTTACGCTTGGGAATATCGCAGAGGCCTAAGGGTGAGCTCAGAGAGGAGGCTGCTCCTGGCACTCTGGCCATGCCCCTCTGCCTAGTCCATGGCCACAGGGAGGGAAGAACAATGTTTTTCTGTCTCGGCAGCATTCTGAGGACTGCAGAACTGCAGGTGTCACAGTGGCACTGCCTGCCCATGCTTCCTTATGCTTTTAGTTGGAATATTCCAGGTTTTGTGAGGACGCTGCTGAGACCTCCACATTTATGACCTCTTCTACCTCTGGTCCCAGTGCAGGGCTCCAGCATCCTCTTGGCTTTCTTCTAGAAAGGAGCCAAGGGTCTCTGCAGTCCCTGCCACCCCCCAGTGACCTGCCAGACTCACATGTGTGCTGCTGATCCCCTCCAGCAGCAGCCGCGTCACCTCTGCCTGCCGATCAAACTCGGTCTGTGTGAGTCTGAGCTCGTGCTCTGCCTGCAAAACAGGACAGGGTGTTCCAACAGGGTGTTCCAAACAGCACCAGGGAAGGACCCCCTGGCTCTGCCTCCTCCAGGAAGAGGCAGCACCCACCTCCTCCACCAACCCCCCCTTTAGGCACTGAGGCAAATGTGCTGCTGGCTCAGTAGGATCCCTGTGACACTGAGCATCAGGCACCCTGGGTGAGGATCCCAAAGCCTCTGGCTGTAGTTCAGCTTGATTCCTGCTTGGTCCTACACCGAATCACTGCAGGTCATGGAATGGCAGCTCAAAATGGAAAGCTAGGAAGCTCCTAGTCCCACAGGACTGGAACTCTGCACAAGATGGAAAGGCTTTGTTAACCTTAAGGAGTGTGGAAAGCCAGTTCCCTGCCACCACCTGTCCTTGTATTCCCTGTTGTAGGACTCTGGGAACTGGGCAGCCAGGGTCTGTCCCCTGCAAAGGCAGCTCTGCCAACAGGACAGTCCGTATGGTCAGCATGTCACTGCAGCTGCTGCAAAATACAGCTCTGAGCTCTGCCCAGCCCCTCTCTAAGCCTGTGACACTGCAATGTGACAAGCTCCCCAGGATCCTCTCCAGAAGAGCAACTTTGCCTGGTACCCTGTGCCAGCACAGCACAAAGGCTGAGGCCAGGGAGCATTTAACCAAATGGCTGTTACTCAACCACACTGCTCCACAATGGAGATGACCATCCCAATCCAGCTTCCACCCACGGCTCCCCTTTGAAGCCAGTTACCTATCTTCAGCTAGGAGGAATGAAACAATGGTTCTCAGAAGGCAGCTGTGGCAGCAGAGATTGGGAATTCCAAGGCAGACTGGTGCTGGAGAACCCATTTACTGAATACACATAACATCTCTCCCCCCACCAGCAACCACTGGCCAGTTCTGTAGTACCAGAATACCCAGGTGGATCCTAGGAAAGAGAAAAGCTCCTGTGCCCTGTAGGTGTCCTGTGTCCTTCCCTTCTCCAGGAGGTGCAGCAGTCAGAGGGGTCCCTGCCTCAGTGCAGAGGTTCCTGCAGGGCACCAGTTCTGCAGCAGAGCTCCTGCTGCTGCTCTGGAAATGCCCTGATGCTTTGTCTTTAATCAGATTGGTCTATTTTAAGCTACAACTGATCTATTTTCTTGCATCCTCTGTATGAAAGGGATTATTTAAAGAAGGGGGAAGGCAACAGGAACCCGTGCAACGCTTTGCTAAGCACCAAGAGCTTCTTGCTCCAGTGAGCTCAGACTCCTCAGGAGCAGCAGAGCTCCCTGAAACTTGTGACAGGCAAACCCTCCTCCATTTGGCTCTGCCTGGGGTTTGACCCATTGCCTCTCCCTGCTCATTCTGAGCAGTTGCAGGATGTAGTTTCTTATAAAAGCTGGAACCTGGAAGGTCCCTTCCAGTCTTGTGCTTCTCCAAGACATGGAGAACTTTGAAATCTACTGCCATCCCTTGGTCTGCCCAACCAGGATAGACCAAAGAGGAACAGAGCCTTGTGGCTGCCTGCAGTCAGCTTGTTTCTTGGAGGAGCTGAAGGATTTAAAGTACAGGATGAGCTGGTTCAACATCAGTCTGCTCTGCTGAGGCATTTGGAGCAAGGCAGGCAGGTGGTGTCATGCACAGCATGCAGGGATGTGCACCCTGCAGCTTGGGCATCAGGCTAATGTGATCATCAGGCTGGGGGGGTTGGAGGCAATGGGATCGCAGAAAGTGTCTCTGGAAGCTGCACAACCATGTTGGAGCTCCACACAGAGCTCTCTCTAGTCCACTAGCAGTCCTTCATCCCTCTTCATGGACAAGTCACATCCTCTTGCAGACCCCAGAAAACAAACACAATCTGGGATTTGCCTCCACAAATAAACTCAGAAGGGTAAGTGCAGCTCACCCAGAGACAGTCAGCTCCACAACAGGCTCCACACCTCCCACCCTGCCCTCCTGGCAAAGCTGTTCCCTCCAGCAGCTGGGGCTATTCAAGGGGAAAACCTCTGCCTGTGCTCCAGCTCTGCTCAGAGCTCCTGCTTGCACCCAGAACAAGCAGGCAAGGGGCTGCTGGAGGCTAGTGTGGGGCACATGCAAAACTGGAGCAGGCAGGGCCTCTGCCAGAGAAGCAGAGCTGAATCACCTCCCAGCACATCCCCTCTGCTCCTCTGACACCCTCAGAGTGGACTTTTCCTGGTTTGTCTGGGAAGTCTCTCACAGAAGGTGCAGCCACCTGGCCCAGGGGGAGGCTCCTCCCAAGCCCCTGCCAGAGACACTGACCTACACAGCTGCAGGATCAGGCCCAGGGCTGAGCACGCCAACCTCCCAGGGTGTGCAGCAGCACCCCCACCCCCTGGACACCCCCAGTACACCCAGAAAGTTTGAGCAGTTTCAGCTGGGTACTTACCTTTTCCACCTCGTCGCTCCAAAGCTGCAGGGGCCACAGAGCAAGAGGAAAGGAGATCAGTGTTGGAGACATGGGGAGGCACTTGGCATTAACACCAAGGATGCTCAGGGACACAGCAGCCCAACTCCAGGGACAAGCCAGCCCTTCACCCAGCAGCAGCTGCCAGATCAATGCCCCTTCCCCTCATTCTTGCATCCTCGAGCTCAGTTTCCCAAGGGGAGAGCAAGTCCCTGCCCCCAGAGCCAGCAGCTCCGCTCCCTGCCAGGGCTGCTCCAAGCAATGGGCTCCAGCAGGAAAAGGATTCAGTAGCAGCCTGAACAGTGAAGGTGGTTCTGCTGCAGCCTGCAGAGGTTGGTGTTGCAGGACAGCTCTTCTTTGAGGATTGTGGAGAGGCAGGGGAGCTGCTGAAGCCCACAAAAAAAGGGCCCTAGGAGCTCAAGTCAGACAGAGGCCTGAGCTCCTCACCCACAGGTCTAGAGGGCTCAGGTTAATGGGATCACGCTGCCAACAAGCAGCTGAGCTGCAGTCAGGAGGAAGCATGGGCTGGATGCTGCCTTTGAACCAGGCAAAACATCATGCTGCTCCTTCCTACTCTCCTCACTCCCAGGGGCACATCAAGGACAGCACAACACTGCCAGCTGCTTGCTGGGATCTGGCTCCAGGACATGAAACAATTGACAAGAGTCACCCACAGGGATGGGAAAGGGAGAAAAGAGATAGAAAAACACATTGATCCTTCCCAGAGGTCCTTGGCTTGGCCATTCCTCAGCAAACTACTCCCTCAGCCCCAGCACCGTAAAGAGAAATCACCCTGGATCAACTGGGAGCACACCAGCCTGCCAGCAAAACCCCTCATCAGTGGGAGAAGGGGAGACGGCCTCTAAGGACTTCACCCTTTGGAGGTGTCACTTTTGGAGATGAGGAAAGTTCATCCCAGCACTGCTGAGTTTGCTCTGCAGGCAGCTGGGAGCTCCGTGCTGGATACTGGGGTGCAGGGGAGGAGAACATGCTCTGTTTACACCCAGGATCTCCCAGCTGAGCCTGGCTGATGTTTCCTCACCACCAACTGCCCTCAGGTGGGCTGTGGTAGCCCCAGGTGCAGGGAGGATGTCACCAGCCAATATAAGGAGCACCTGGAGGAGTTGCCTGCCCTTCAAAGGACTGAAGCAGGGAGGTGTTACACCAGGCTCCTCAGCTTGCTTCCTGCTCTGGCTTCTGCTCCTGGCCTGCAGCTCAGCTCCTGGTCCATGGTATGTAGCCTGACTGGCCTTTCTTACTTGAGCAGTTATTGTAGTTGCTCCCCTAGAAGGGCTGGGTGTTCTCTCTGACCTTTTGGTGGGTGTTTTGTTTCTGCAAACCAGGGAGTGGTTCAAACAAAGTCTGGGCAGCTTCAGCCATGTGTGTGGACACAAAGCTCTTCCCTTTGTCAGTCTAAGAGCTGCTACTCTGGAAGGCCAATGGTGGGAAGATCCTTGTAGGCAGCTGGGGAGCAGGTCCTGTCCTGGCCTCTGTCAGCACATCTTGTGATCTGGAGGAAGGATTCCTCCAGGGATAATGGGAAGCTTTCACCTTGGCCACAGGTCTTCCCACTTAGGTGCTGCAGACAGTACTTCAGCTATTTCTGGCTCCTTTAATCACTGCAATTCTGAATTTGTAGATGCATTTCTTTCTCTTCTGTTGGCCTTGCTGTGCAACCTCCAGCTCTGACCCTGTGGTGCTTTAGGGCTGCCCAGCTTTGCCCAGATCCATCCCTGGGCCAAAGCACCATGTGGCTCTAGTCACAAGTGTTTCAGGCAGAGAGCACAAAAAGCCATAATTTGCTCCTGTCTTCTCCCACCCCAGCTCAAGCCAGAGGAACCCTCTGTAAGGTTCTCAATCTGATTTTCTTGGCATCATTCCTAGGAGTACAGCACAGGACAAGTGACAGGGTCTGAGGGAAAGGGATATTTAGGCTTACACAGCCCACAAACACCTTCTTATACAAACACAAAGGTCAGTGTGGGAGAGAGGAGAAATGGCTCCTCAGCCTCCAAGTCATACAAAACAAGGGAGGTGCTTGTCTCCAGGTGGATCTAATTCCATCTGAGCCCTCCTGTTATGGAAGGGAGAAAAATAAAAGCACCACATTATTCACCTCTCCAAAAAGCAATATAAATTTAGAACCCAAATGGGAGCCCTGCTTGAGGGCATGTGGTCTAGGAGAGAGTTGACCTGTTTGCTCACCTGTAAGACAAAGTTGTTACCTGGGCATAAGCAATTCCCTCCCCCCAGAAGGGAGCAGAGCTCAGCAGCAAGATGAGCAGCAACCACTGCTCTCTAGGACACACTAAGGCTAAAGAAGCACAAGGACTCTGGCCTGGAAGAGAAGCAGAGCAACAGTATGAAGGGCTCCTACCTTGCTGCAGTGCCTGACCCCTTGGGATGAATGCTGGGATGAGAGAGCTTGTTGCAGAGCAGTCCTGCCTGCACAAAGCTGGGCAGCAGTCTGGGCTCAGCCCATGTTTTGCTAATTAAAGATGCTGTTTGTTACCCATCACCCCTGCTAGTGCAGCTGGACTTCAGGTGGCACTTCCACCAGCAGTTGCAACCTTCAAAATAATATAGGTAGTTTTGGAAGCCACCAGGA